CGGCGCGAGTTAGCGGAGACTCAAACCTTTTGAATCTATATTTAGTTGTTATTTTACAACTGCACCTGGGCACACTGAAACTGATCGTCGTTAAATTCAAATTCAAATTTGGCAGTTAAAATATTTTAAAAAAATTTGTTTAATTCTAAAAAAATTCTAAAATAAATATAAAAAATCTAAAATATGTTAAAAATTCAGAAAAAAAAATTTAAAATTCAGTAAAATTTTTTTTTTAATTTAGAAGAATTGTAAAACATCCGAAAAAAATGTTTAAAATTCAGAAAACAAATTTAAAAATATAGATTTTGCTTTCAAAATAATTAGTTTTTTCCCCAAACGATCCCAAATAAATGCCGCCTTCACAAAAAAATTGCACATTGATTTCACCATCTTTTATTGATTCATATTTGTGTGTTCTATCAATTACATTTACATATTTAAATTGCATTTATAAATATTTTATATTGCTGCAGGGTTTTAACTAGCCCGGAGCCAAGATCCGATCACCGTCCTCCATTGCCATCGGGTTGAGATCTGTCATCCCAGCTGCTCGCTCCTCCAGCTTCACCTCTGCCGATCAGGTGATCATCAATCAACAATTACAATGAACTTGATGAACTTGTGCTTCCCAGATCCCTGCGCACGCTCCCGTTTTCGCTATTGCAGTGCTGTAAATATAAGAAATAAAGCTATGTAAAATTAAATTAAATTATAGATAAGTTTTTAAGAAAAACTGAGTAAGCAGTTTTGTTAAGCGCAGAAATCCCAATGCAACACGGGTTTCCGAATTGAATTTTATGCGTTTTTGGCTGAGTTATAAATTTTCAAAAATGTTTATTTCCCCCAAAATTATCACAATAAATGGCACCAATTTTTTTCTTCCAATTTTTCTTTAAAATTTTTTTTTAAAATTTTGCGTAAATATTAAGGCAGTTTTGTTGAGCTTAGAAATCCCAATTCAGAACAGCTTTCCGAATTGAATTTCGCGTTTTTGGCTGAGTTATGAATCTTTGAAAATTAGCTTTTTGCTCATTTTTGTTAAAAAAAAATTATATAAAAATGGCAGGTAAATATTTTAATTTTGTTAAGCTTAGAAAAACTTACTTAGAGCAGCTTTCCGAATTAAATGTCTATACATTTACCGATCGCTTCTATGGCAGCTATATGATACAGTTGGCCGATTTTCATAAAATGTATACCAAAATTCTAAAATAATAACAAAAGCTTATATCTCAGAGTAGATGAAAACACGTTGAAAAACAACAAAGTTATAATTTTTTTCTATAAATTTACCGATCGTTCCTATGGCAGCTATAAGATATAGTCGCCTGACTTTCATAAAATTAAAAACGAAATTCTGAAATATTATAAATTTGACATATCTCAAAAATGGTGCAAAAATGTTGAAAAACAGCCAAGTAATAATTTTTCTTCTCAAAATGTATCGAACAATTGTATGGCTGTTATATGATATAGTCGTCCGATCCGCCTCGTCCAGATATATATAGCAGTGAGAGTATATAGAAGACTGTATGCCAAGTTTCATATACATAGATAGCTTTAAATCTGAGGGTCTAGTTTGCGTAGAAACGGACAGGCGGACGGACGGCCATGACTAGATCGACTCAGCTGTTGATGCTGATCAAGAATATATATACTTCATAGGGTGGGAAAGTTCTCCTTCACTGCGTTGCAAACTTCTGACTGAAATTATACCCTGCAAGGGTATAAAAATTATAGCTTCGTTTTTTTTCAACGTATGTTTATCTACTCTTAGATATAAGCTTTTTTATTATTCTAGAATTTTGGTATAAATTTTATAAAAATCGGACAACTATATCATATAGCTGCCATAGAAGCGATCGGTACATGTATAAAATATGTAAAGCTGGGAATGTAAAACTGTAACTGTCAAACTGTAAACATAATAAGAATAGGTAAAATTTAATGAAACTCTGTTTTGTGAGTGTTTTCAGCATTTAAATCTATAATATAAACATCGAAACCAATCCGCAAGGGTATACAAACTTCGGCGTGCCGAAGTTAGCTTCGTTTCTTCTTTTATGGTTTTAATTTTGTGATCGCTGCTTAAACGATATTTTTCAACTTAAATTAATGATATAATAGGGTGAAATATAGTCTATATAACAAACAAAGTTGTGCCTGGGCTTATCTCTACTAAAATGATCTTTGGTAATAAGTACCTAACCCCTCAGATGTTGATAAGCCGAGAACAAAAAACCCAAAACGGGTCATTATAGTCCGGCTCAACGAAAATAAAAGCAAACAAAAACAACCCAACATACATATATGTATGTACATGTATCCTTATATATAAATAGTCCAGCTCAAAGATAAGAAAAGCAAGCAGGAAGACCAAAGCTTTATTTGCTCAGTGTTTCTACCTGAAGACTCTCCGAGAGAATTAGTCTTAGAAACACCCTGTATTTCCGGCACTCTGGGCAGCTGTGTCGATTGGTTTAGATTCATTATCTCCCATTTAGTTGTCTTCCGACTGAGTTACTTGTAGGTCGTGCAATGAGATCTGTGTGTTTCGTCTTACTGCTTGTTTGGTTTTCGAGTCAATGCGAAGCTAATAAAAAAGTGTCCTGCAAGGATGAACAGGGCAACGATGTGGATTGGTAAGTATTTTGCTTATGAATTTTTCATTACAATTTATCCGACTAAAATACTTGACTGTTTAAACAGCATTTTAAGTAAATATAAACATAACTGAACACATTATAACAATAATACCACTGGCAAATATTAGTGAATGTCTGTAAATGGAAACTATTGAAGAACTTTAATGTTTGTTTAGTGATGTAACGTAAACTGGTGTATTTAAAAAGGGCTTACGAATGATAGTTTCTACAAAACTAAAAGTTAAATAATTTAAAATTTGAATAACGACTTAAATTATTTTATGTTAGGTTTTAATTATTTGATAAAAAATACTTGAAACAATTAGAAATATATTGCTAGCCCCAAAAATGTTTTAAAATAATAGCCAAGCCACAATATGTTTCCCTAAGTAGAGGTCTAATCATGGGTTATCAAAGTTCATTCTTTCGCCTAAGAAAAATGAACAGATTTGTTTTAATGCAATTGTAAATGAATCCTATTTCTAGTTCAAACAATTATATCTCAATGCCATAATTAAATCCACATTCATTTTACTCTCACAGGTGGCACCTGTACAAGTTGCCCAAACACTATCAGCACAATGACTTGGGCAAGGACGTCACTGGGCTCCGGTACTTGTACGTGACCAGCCAGAGCTACGAAAGCTGGCAGCTGTCCGGAAAGCGGATTAGCGACCCTGGATCCCTTCCAGCCCAAACCCTTAATCCCCTGAACGCTGATCCAACTCATATTCTGCTGGCGGCCTACAACGATCAGCAGCCCAACGGCACTGTCTTCAGCAACGGAGGACATGCCAAGGGAGTGGTGGCCAGCGATGGAGAAACGGCTATTTGGCTCGTTCACTCGGTGCCCAAGTATCCCACTGTCCCCGATTACTCGTACCCCACATCCGGGGAGCAGTACGCCCAGAGCATGCTCTGCATCACCCTGAAAGCTGAGGATCTGGAGAAGGTGGGTCAGGTGCTGGTCTACAACGAACCGCACTTCTACTACGAGCGCAATCCCCTGGTTGGTCGGTCCGATGAACTGTTCCCAAGTCTGGAGAGGGCTCTGCATGGCCAATGGCGGACGGAGTCGCCTTTCCAGAAGGAAGTCGAGCTGCGCAGTCTGGACGGCAAGAAGTTCCGGTTGTTCGGCAAGAGTGGACGGGCCAATGTGGAGCTGTACGCCGATGTGGTGGCCCCCGCCCTGGATGTTAGCCTTTATGTGGAGGCGTGGCGCGATGGGGCCGGCAATCTGCCAAACAGCTGCGAGAAGTCCGACAAGGTACTGAACGTCGAGTCCATCTCAAACCTGGAGCTCTCGGTGGACTTCAAGACAACCCAGGACCACTCAAAGTGGGCGGTGTCCCGTCCGAGCGGTATTCTGATCTATCACTGGCGCGTCGGCGGCGGGGATTGGATTTGTGTCGGTGACATCAACCGCCAGCAGGGACAGCTGCAGCGCGGCGGCGGAACAGTGTGCCACAAGAGCGCAAGAGTGTCGAGCCTGTACCGCAATCTGGTCGCCAACTACGACAAGTGTGCCGAGTAGTAACGGATTTCAAGGAAATATTGTCAAACAGTGCACTGCAAAATAAATAAACGAGAGTTAATACCCTTTTATTTGAAAGAGATTTGGCTTTGTAAATTAACTGGTCCACCGATGAGTTTCTTTAAAATTTGTGTGTCAATTAGATATCTAGTACTTATGGGGTATTTTAATTATAGTCATATTACAGCACAGGAAGGGACAAATATTATTTGAAAAGGAAACTAACTTTGGCACGCCGAAGTTTTTAAACCCTTGCAGTTTTCAGTTGGATTATTAACAATCAATCCAAAACTAACAGAAGATATTTATACAAAAAGTATATAGTATAGTATAATTATTTGGTTTGGCTAATCAAGAAAATATTCCGTTCTCTGTGTTGCAAACTTAAATTATAATACCCTGGAAGGGTAAAGATTTTAATGAGATTTTAAGGTATTTAAGAATACAATTTCAAACTTTTTGCGCCTATTCACAGATTACAAAATACCGTTAGGAAATCGGTGCGGAACTTGGAGAAGCTGCACCCAATTTCTACACCAAGAATCGGTTAAATTTGGCACTGCCACTTGCTAGGTTTGAATCACACATCGCCCGTATAAATATCGATGTATCGATAAAATTATGGTCTTTTATTTTTTAACAAATTGATTTTAATTATTTACTATGAAAATAGACGTCTTATAAAATACAATGATCAATGATAGCACCAATGCAATTATTGTGAGAATATGTTCATAAATATTACAATATGGTATTTTAAGGCTATAGCTAGTTTCAAAGTTCGTAACGTTTTTAAATATACTAGATCTAGCTAGAAATAAGCTAAACTGGCAGCACTGCAAACACTGTTTGGCAAATATTACAAACCTTCCGCAAAAACTATTAATTTTAGCATAGCCAATTGTAAAGCCTGGAATGTTCTGCTGTTTGCGCACCTGTCTCAACGGTGGACACCTGAGGAAGCCAGCAGCCGCGGCCAGTCGCCTCCGGGAGCCCGATGTTCACCTGGACGCAGCACATATGGGTAAACAACAGAATTACGGCAATATTGTTAAGCCCTATTATCTTTTCGCTGCTTTTGCCCTGCAGGAGCCGATGTGATCCTACTGTCGCATCAGCTACGCGTCACGGGCACCGGAGGCGTCCTGGCTACAGCCCCTCTGGTCCAGTCAAAGTCCTACTTTGAGGTGAAGATCCAGCAGGGCGGCAGCTGGTCAGTGGGACTGGCCACTCGCCAAACGGACCTCAGCCGGAAGTGCGGCGGCGGAGACCGCGAGTCCTGGTGCCTGTGTTCAGACAATGCCACGCGCCACAACGACCAGGAGGAGTCCCGGCCGGTGGTGCAAGCTGCCTGCACCACCCAACCGTCGAGGACTGCCAATGGAATCCTCAACAATAGTGCTGCTAAGGCGGCGGGTCTTATTGCCATCGAAGATCTGCAGCAGGAGGACCTGCTCATGACCACCGGTGTGGCGTCACCTGATGTGGGTATCGGCGATTCCTTGATTGCATCGCCGCAGCGCGATTTTCCCGACGAGGGCGATATAGTGGGAGTGGCCTTCGATCATGTGGAGCTCAATTTCTATTTCAATGGGAAGAATCTGGATGTTCCCTTCAGGAATGTGCGAGGAGCGGCCCTTTTTCCTGTCATTTATGGTGAGTTTCCTGTTAGGTTTGGCGGATCAAGTTACCAATTATTCATTTCAGTCGGCAATGGGGCTATCTTGGACATAATCCTGGACAACTTCTCGCATGGCCCACCGCCTGGGTTCGAGCGTATTCTGCTGGAGCAATCGCTCCTTTAGATACCAAACCAAACCAAAAGCCTTGAACAAATTAACAGCTTCTCAGCAAAAACCTTGAAGGAATTAAAAGATGGACAGTGTGTTTTATGACTATAGGGCAGGATAATATTCCCGGAGTGTAAGGACTTATATTTAGCCCAAAAAATGTCTTTACTTTCACGTTGACTGCACTTTTAATTAATTTATTTCATTTGTAAGATCGCCAAGTGAAAGGGATTTATGGTTCGACCCTTGGTCATTTTAGTTTACAACAATTTCGACACAAAATTATGGTCTTACTCCTGTCTAGTCAGCAAAAATCAAAGTAAACCATAAAAGTCTTTGCCAGACGTCCAGTATAGCAACTGATACCTATCAAGCTTAACTTTAATGTTAAGATAAGTAATAAATTATACAAAATATTTACCCTTTTGACTGTCTTATAGTCGTGATATGCACTGCTTTCATCGTTTAGGCAACACGTGTATAAACTTTGTAACCGCTCTAGTCCTTATCCCCTCAAATCGAAAAGTATTGTTTTGTTTAATTCACTTTTTGTAAATTACTTACGTAGCTTGACCTCGCGACTGCTTTTGTATTATACACAGACACACACATATATATCTCTGTACATAGATACAGATGCATTTTTTTAATAGGCCCTAGATCGCCCCAAAACTTCTCTCACATTCCAATTTACAACGGCCATGGACCAGTCCGCCGACGTACTCGAGCACGGAATTACCTAACTAACTGTAAGAGTGTATCTGTATATCTACGAAATTGTATCTAAATGTATCTAACGCTTTGAAAACTGATTAATCCGCGCGCGGACAATAAATCTATGTTACGTAAAGAAACCCTTCTTGGCCTAGGCTGTCACTTAGACTTGTGTATTATTTCGGAAAAGTATTCTACTAAAATTGGAAAAAATTAAGATATGACAGATGTCCGCAAAGGGCGAGATAATCCAGGTGCACATTGGCCAGGCCGGTGTGCAGATCGCCAACGCCTGTTGGGAGCTGTACTGCCTGGAGCACGGAATTATGGCCAACGGAAGGATGCCTCAGAGTCCCCTGGACGACTCTTTTCTCACGTTTTTTGAGTTCACCAACAGTCGATCCTGTGTGCAGCCCCGGATAGTTGTGATTGACACGGAACCCACAGTTATCGGTTTGTCCCAAATATCCTTCAAGGCTCAATCACTGAGATCTTTCCCTACAGACGAAATTCGCACAGGTGCCTATCGCAATCTCTTCCACCCAGACACTCTGATCACCGGCAAGGACGACAGTGGCAGTAACTTTGCCCGGGGCTATAACCTAATGGCCAGCGAGCTGTTGGATCGCTCCATGAATGCCATTCGTCGCGTGGCCGATCGCTGCCGGAACCTAAGGGGCTTTCTGGTCTTTAGAGCCATTGGAGGCGGCTCTGGCTCTGGTCTGGGCACTCGAATCATGGAGAAAATCGTAGATGACTATGGCAGGAAGATGACTGTTGTCGAGTTTATAGTGTATCCATCGCCCTCGTGAGTCAGTTTGCCTTCATTGACAAGCCACTGAGAACCTTATTTCCCATAGTATCTCCCCGGTGATTGTGGAGCCCTACAATGCGCTCCTGGCGGCCCACTTCTCCATGGACTGCACCGATATCTCCTTCATTGTAGACAATGAGGCGCTGTATGACATTTGTGCGAATACCCTCAACGTGCCTGCTCCCACCTATACGAATCTCAACCGAATCATTGGCCAGGTGGTGTCCAGCTTTACGGCCTCCCAGCGTTTTGGCCAGGGGTCGAACGTTAGCTTCCAGGAGTTGCAGACAAACCTGGTCCCGTATCCGCGGATCCACTATCCGCTGATAAACTACGCTCCCCTGGTTCCGATTTCCCACTCTCAGTTCGTGAACATGTCGACGGCCCAGTTGACGAGTCAGTGCTTCCAGATGAGCAACCAAATGGTCAGGTGCAATCCCTCGCATGGCAAGTACATGGCTTGCGTTCTCCTCTACCGCGGCGACCTCGCCCCCAACGAGATCAATTTCGCCTTGGAGAACATCAAGAGGAACAGGTCGTTTAGATTTGTGGACTGGTCGCCCACGGGCTTCAAGATCGGTGTGAGCAGCATGCCGCCGGTATATGTCCCTGGCGGTGATCTGGCGCCCACCAATCGCGCCTGCGTGGCCATTTCGAACAACACGAACATCCGGATCGCCTGGTGTCGGCTGGTCAACAAGTTCGACAAGCTCTATCAGCGGCGTGCCTTCGTCTATCACTACGTGGGCGAAGGGCTCGAGGAGGGCAACTTCACCGAAGCCTCGGAGAATATCTGCCAGCTGGTGCACGACTACCTGGAGGTGGATGCCTCGGGTCCTTCATCGCCTCGCGGATCCGGGTCCGAGTAGTCTAAATCCTTTGGAAAATCGTTCCCGATATCATTTTTCGTCTGTCGTCATATGATCCCAATAAAGCCTCCCTAAATTTGGTGTGTTAAATTGAAGAGATTACTTTCTGGCGAAATGAAGTCAATTGATTTTTGAATAACTATCGAGGTTTGCTAAAGCTGAACGGAATTTCAAGATCCAAAACTTTGCTGCGTCAAAGAAAATATCTTGGTAAACTGACCTCTGCCTGTATGAGAGTATTATTATGTTCGGTCTCCAAAAGCACTTAACCTTTCCACATTTTTATTTACCTTTTTGAGGCTTTCGTCAGCTCGAAACCGTTGGCCAAATTAAGTATTTACGGCTGGCTTAAACAAACATTGACCCAGCCTGCAATTTGCGTTGCTTGACCCCGGTCCAAAAGGCAAAGGGAGGGGTCGCATCGACGGACGATGGGCGTGACCAACCCTGCCGATATGGGGTATAATTAAAATGATCGCTGCCCGAGGGTTTAGCACGTACCGAGGCAAAAGTCGCGCTTATCGCGATCGCACCCAGGGCAAGGTCTTACCGATCCGGCATCTTCGGATCATCTTCATCCCGGTGCTGGATGGTCGAGTCCCCTCGGACCCCTAGCTGGCCCCACCGGCCGCTGTGTGACGTGACTTACGCACGCTTAATGCGCGATTATCGATGAAGGGATCTTGGCCAGCACGCAGACCGCTCACTTGGCCATCTTATCAAATCGCTGACTGACTTTTGGTGTGGTCCTTGCGCAGGATGCCCGCTGTTATTAAAGGCATTATCATTATGAGATCCCGGTGCCCTTCCGCCAATTCCTTTGTGTGTTAACTGTTGCTAATCTTAAATTGAAGTCCAGAAACCTTAGCTTTTGTTTTAAAGCGTGAGAACCGCTGCGTGTGTTCTTTCTTTCTCTCTTTTTTTCAGGGGGTGTTAATGAGCCAAGGGAAATGCCAAAGGACCACCTTGAGCTGGGGCTCGTCGGAATTAAGCTGTTCTACCGATCGACATGGGATCGGGATAATAAAGCAATTTCGCCAGATTGCCAAAAGGAAAGGTGCGTGCCCTGGCGAGGTGGATTTGGGAGGGCAGAATGCTCTGGGGAGGAAGGACGACCCCTGCGCCACAACATTTGAAATATCTAGTTAACTCTGGGGCCGCTCTGACCTCCTTTATTTATGCACTAATCCGTGGGAAATGCTCGCCGAGACACCTGGGGCCGATTTATGCCACAAACAAAACGAAAAAGGAACAACAACAGTCGGAGGTCCACACCCGCAACACAAAAGAGACAACAATGTGAAAATATTCAAATTGAGACTTGAATGCTCTTTATGGTTACATTTTGAGAAGATCTAGAGTTTTGCCAAAATTATTTTAACGCAGAAAAGTATAAAGGAATTTTACAATTTTGTTTATAGATATTTCTGGTATGCTAAGGTCTTTTTTTGTGAGTCCTTTAAGGTCTCATCTTAGAATATATTAAACATGTATGGTGTATCTAGCCATTAATATACAACAAAACCCATCTACCCCAAACCTATAGAGTGTTCAAAAGTGGAAAAAATATTAAACAACCGTCGAGTGAATTAATAAAGCGCCTCGCGAGGCGGCCACGCATTAAACGACACACCGCAGAAAACATTGCAGCGGCGAATCCAGGCAGGCCGAGGGGCAGGAAGAGCTCGGGCTCTATTCCGAGGACCCGGGCCACATGTGTGCGAGTTCCAGTACGAATGCGAATAGAAGCCACATGACTGACCACTCCAATGCACTGCACTCCACTTTTGTTGTTGCCCGTTCTTTTTAGCCGAGGGCAAACATTTTGGAATTGCAATTTTCGACTTCATTTCCAGGCTCTGAACGCCTCGGTTTTCTTTGGCTTTATTTTTTATTTAGGCAGAAGACTTTTGAGTTCGAGGCACAAGGCAACACCTACCGGGGTACCGAGGCACCGAGGCACCAAACCGCCAAATGGGCAAACCAACACAGCCCGCAGAGCCAACGGTGGGCGGTTGTAACTGAGGCAGGGAGCGGAAGGGAGGCAGCGACATACTGAGAATAAATAGGGCTGCAAACGAAAATATATTTAATTGATTAAGGAGAAAAGAAAACAACATTAGAATTAGATTTCACAAATTTTAAATAATACACTTATCTTCCCGGCATCAGTTATTTTCATATCCAAAACAATTTAATTATTCCAAGGTTGTATTTAAAAATAAATGCTTTTAAGGAACTTATATGGAGTAACTTAGGAGCCAAATGTATTTCGTAACAAGATTGTTTCCCATAATCTACAAAATCCTTACAGATCATTAAAAGACCTAAACAAGTTATATTTAGTATAGATTTTTAATTTGATCAGTTTAACATGGATATTTTTCATTAGCTATTATTATTAGAATATTATTCGCTGAGTGTGGGCTATGCGGCAAGTGTTTCGATTTATGTTTTTGCGCCTCGGCTGCCACAGCTTGCTACATGCCACATGCTCGCTGGCTGGCTGGCTGACTCGGCTGCGGCGATTTCATTCAAAATGTTTAACCAGCACCAGCCAGCCACAAGACCACTTGTTGCTCTTTTATTCATTCAATTTGTCAGTTTTGCACTAGCACAAAACGAAACCCAGTCCACTCCAGTCCGGGCCCAGCCGAGCCAAGCCGAGATCGCTTCTCCTCCCCTTGCCCCGGACGGAGTCAAAAGGTTATCGCCACACTTGCTGCATTTATGCGGCCTGATCATGTGGCATGATCATCACGATGATGATAATGACGCCGATCGCGGCGTTGTGGGCATTCAAGCCGCTGCTCTCCTCTGCCGCATGTTTACATGGCAAAATTATTAGTGGTAATATTTGTGAAATATTTGTTTTCTAATCTGTAAACACCAATCATATTAGCAATTTGAATATGACAGCGCCAGCTCCAAACAGTAACAGGCCTTGTTGTTGCTGTTATGGGTACCCTAAAGATGCGGGGTATATTGGTTTATGAATAGCAGTTGTGGCTTAAAGTACATTGGTGGTAAGTTAACTAAGCCACTTCGATGAGAAGTTTATGATATACAGAGCGGAGCATCTTAAAGATATAATTTTTATAATATTTCTTATTTTTAAACATTTTATTAATTAACAATTTAAGATTGGAAACTTATCACTTATCCAAACACTACATAAACTTCATACTAGCCCCTATAAGGATTTAAGAGCATTTGGATATTCGATTCCCTAAGATCCAGTCCCGATTTATAGGCAATTGTTGTTGTGGTCAACGGTCAGTGGCTTGTGGCAAGTATTTTGGTTATTACGTTGGCCTGGCTGGTTGCCTTCAATGGGTGGGTGGAGGTAGGTGGGGCGTGAGTTATTATCTATTCAATTGTTGCACTTTGCTGCTTCCTATTGCCTTGAGACATGGCCATGGATCCCACCCCGCCATCGCTCCGCCCGCAGAGTGGT